CTTGTCCTTCCACCAAATTTAGGTATTGTTTCCTTAGAAGTGCTGAGCTTTCCATGGCCCTGTTTTTGCTCATAATGTTCCACCTGCTGGAAATGATCTTATTAATCTTTTACCTGTCCAACTTCAGCTCACCTTTCCAAGCCCCAGGTGCAGAGTTTCATTTTCCTTTTTTTTTAAACTTTTTATTTTGTATTGGGATATAGCTGATTAACAATGTTGTGATAGTTTCAGGTGAACAGCAAAGGGACTCAGCCATACATTTACATACATCCATTCTCCCCCAGCCTCCCCTCCCATTCATGCTGCCACATAACATTGAGCAGAGTTCCTGTACTATACAGTAGGTCCTTGTTGGTTTTCCATTTTAAATATAGCAGTGTATACATGTCCATCTCATACTCCCTAACTATCCCTTCCCTCCATCTCTCCCCCCTAGCAACCATAAGTTCCTTCTCTAAGTCTGTGAGTCTCTTTCTGTTTTGTAAGTTCATTTGTATCATTTTTTTAGATTCCACATACAAGGAATGCCATACAATGTTTCTCTTTGTCTGATTGACTTCAGTTAGTATGACATTCTCTAGGTCCATCCATGTTGCTGCAAATGGCATTATTTCACTCTTTTTAAATGGTTGAGTAATATTCCATTGTATATATATACCACATCTTCTTTAACCATTCCTTTGTCAATGGACATTTAGGTTGCTTCCATGTCTTGGCTATTGTTAACAGTGCTGCAATGAACATACAGTGTTTCATTTTCCATGAAGTTTTCTCTGACCCCACTCTGCCAAAAGTAATCCTCTCACAGCCCATGGCACTTTGTGTTCCTTTTGAGACACTTCCTAAGTTCTCTCTTAGAGCTCTTGGTCCTTGGAAGCTGGGCTCTTGTTAACCATCACTTTAATCTCCACACAGTAGAAACTCAGTTTATGTTCACTGAGTGAATTAAATGTCAGCCAGCATCTTGAAAGTGTCTTTAATTTGCTTACTTTTTCAACCCAGATAACCATTTGACTATTATCTGTAAAGACTATAGAACAAACTGCTCTGGAACAAAAAACACTTCACTCCATGTTGATATAGTTAGTAAGTTTATGATCTGAGAAAATCTGTGCCTTTTAAACCTCAGAGGGCAGGTGTATTAACAAACTACAGAATTTTCATATAAATGAATTCCATTACCTCACTATTGCTGTTGATGAATTGGCCTCTGACAACACTTAAGCATCAAAACGCACAGCGTCTTTTCAGGTGGAGAGGCTGACATGAGAGATTTGGTTAACTTTAAGAAAAATCTTATGAAAAAAGGACTGTTGAACTTTCTTTCCCTGCTTTGTTTCTGCCTTTGAATATACTCTGTATCATGTAAAGTGGCCACATCTTTTTCCTTGACCTGTTTCTGTTGTCACAAAATGTTATTTTTTAGGCACTTAACAGGGTTCTGAGGTTGTAAATTTAGAATCACAGCATCAGCAAATCCCAAGGTCGCAAGGGACTTTAAAGATCATGTAGTCAGCCTTCTGTCAGATAGATAGCCAAGTTGCGAATTCTCTACTTTTTGAGGTCATCCATTCTGTTATTTGAATCTTCAGAAACTCTCCTGTTAGAAAGTTTTTACTTCCAGCATTCAATGTTGAGTAATTCTTTCTCCCTCTGTGACCCAGCCATGGGTTCTGATTCTACCTTTTGGACAGTCTAATCACTTTTCTATAATATTTAAGGCAACTGTCCTGTTTTTCTCCAGGTGAAATATCTTCTGATCTTTCATTACTTCCTTTTGTCTCTTAAAACATAATGTTCAAAATTGTAGACATATTCCAAGTGGAGTCTGACCTCTGCTGAACAGGACAGAAATCTCACTTTGTACGTGAAGATATTATATTTGCATTACTATATCTAAAAATCACAGTAATTGCAGCGGGCAACCTTATCCTCTTGACTTCCCTTGAGTGTATACTGTCATCATGAGCCTGTGAGGCTTTCTCATACCTAGATAGGAGTGACACACCTATCCTGTACCTCTTCAGTTGTGCTTTTAGGCCAAAGTGCAGGATCTTAAATTTATCCCCATTAGAGTCAGCCGATTGAAAGAGTCTATTAATTATGTTTGGTTCATGGTTAGGTCATCTGATATATTTGTCTTCCTGCCCCCCTTCTTGCAGTCTACAAATTTGATAACTTTGTTTTCTCTTCTCCATCGTAGTCATTCATGGAGATGTTGAGGCAGACCAGGATGGAATCATTCCATTGGACCATACTGCTGCTAGTAGGTTTAAATGGGTATTAATTGTGTATGGAGATAGGATTGTCAGTTTAGATCAAATACTCCATAATTGTAGTAGAAATTGTCTTTTAGGTGAGTAGTCTTACATCACTTGGTACCTGTTTAACAAGAGATAATAGAACTACATATGGTCATAAGAGTGAGATTAGGAACTATCTTGGAAAATTAGTGACCCTGCTTATATTCTTATATATGATTAAATATAATATATTTATTAATTAATAAAACATAATTCTTAAATTCTTGGGGCTTCCCTGGTGTCTCAGACGGTAAAGAATCTGCCTGCAATGTGGGAGACCCAGGTTTGATCCCTGGGTCAGGAAGATCCACTGGAGAAGGGCATGCAACCTACTGCAGTATTCTTGCCTAGAGAATTCCATGGACAGAGGAGCCTGGTGGGCCACAGTCCATGGGGTTGGAAAGAGTTGGACATGACTGAGCGACTGACGCTTTCTTTCTTCTATTCTTATGTAAGGTATTAAGCAGAGAACATTCTGGACTGATTAGAGGCAATGTGGTATAGGGGAAAGAACCCTAAACTTGGCCCTGAGATGTTTTATTCATTTATTTATTCAGCAAATAAATATTGTGTACATACTATGCTTAAGCCTTAGATATACAGTGATTAAAAATAAACCAACCGAGACTTCATGTTTGCCATCAATGTAACTTACATTCAGATGGGGAAACAATTTGATAATTATACAGATGAAATCATAATACTTTCTGTGATCTATCTTCTAGACAGGTATTGTCCAACAGAAATATAATACAGGTCACATACTCAAAAGTTTCTAGTAGAGGAGAACATAGGCAAAACACTCTCCGACATAAATCACAGCAGGATCCTCTATGACCCACATCCCAGAATTTTAGAAATAAAAGCAAAAATAAACAAATGGGACCTAATGAAACTTAAAAGCTTTTTCACAACAAAGGAAACTATAAGCAAGGTGAAAAGACAGCCCTCAGATTGGGAGAAAATAATAGCAAACGAAGCAACAGACAAAGGATTAATCTCAAAAATATACAAGCAACTCCTCCAGCTCAATTCCAGAAAAATAAATGACCCAATCAAAAAATGGGCCAAAGAACTGAACAGACATTTCTCCAAGGAAGACATACAGATGGCTAACAAACACATGAAAAGATGCTCAACATCACTCATTATCAGAGAAATGCAAATCAAAACCACAATGAGGTACCATTACACACCAGTCAGGATGGCTGCTATCCAAAAGTCTACAAGCAATAAATGCTGGAGAGGGTGTGGAGAAAAGGGAACCCTCTTACACTGTTGGTGGGAATGCAAATTAGTACAGCCACTATGGTAAACAGTGTGGAGATTTCTTAAAAAGCTGGAAATAGAACTGCCATATGACCCAGCAATCCCACTTCTGGGCATACACACCGAGGAAACCAGATCTGAAAGAGACACGTGTACCCCAATGTTCATCGCAGCACTGTTTATAATAGCCAGGACATGGAAGCAACCTAGATGCCCATCAGCAGACGAATGGATGAGGAAGCTGTGGTACATATACACCATGGAATATTACTCAGCCATTAAAAAGAATTCATTTGAATCAGTTCTAATGAGATGGATGAAACTGGAGCCCATTATACAGAGCGAAGTAAGCCAGAAAGATAAAGACCATTACAGTATACTAACACATATATATGGAATTTAGAAAGATGGTAACGATAACCCTATGTGCAAAACAGAAAAAGAGACTCCTATGTATAGAACAGACTTGTGGACTCTGGGAGAAGGTGAGGGTGGGATGTTTCAAGAGAACAGCATCGAAACACATATATTATCTAGGGTGAAACAGATCACCAGCCCAGGTTGGGTGCATGAGACAAGTGCTCGGGCCTGGTGCACTGGGAAGACCCAGAGGGATTGGGTGGAGAGGGAGGTGGGAGGGGGGACCGGGATGGGGAATACATGTAAATCCATGGCTAATTCATTTCAATGTATGACAAAAACCACTACAATGATGTAAAGTAATTAGCCTCCAACTAATAAAAATAAATGAAAAAAAAAATAAATAAAAGTTTCTAGTAGCTCCATTTTAAAAAATGAAAAGAAAAAAATGAAACTAATTTTAATAATGGGTTTTCTTTAACTCAGTATACCTGATAATATTTCAACATGTAAGCAATATAAATAGAGATATTTATATTCTCTTTTCTTGAACTAAATCATTGACATCTTAAACTTATACCACATCTCAGTTTGAACTAGCCTGTTTAAAGTGCTCAATAGCCATGTATAGCTAGTGGCCTTCATATTGGACAGCACAATACTATCCCCACCTTTATAGACTGCTCTATGGTATTGGGAAAATCGCTTTGCTTATTTAGAACTCCTGTTTTCATCAGTAAAATAAAGAATTAAGACTTATCTTTAAACAGCTAAAAGTGGTCCTTTTCATGTACGAGGGAGTCATCCAAGGTGCTGTAATAATCTGTCTTCATGAGTGGTACTTACATGGGTATATATGTAATGATTCATCAAGCTCTATACTTAAGATATGTGTACTTTTCAGTATCCATGTTATCACTCAGTGAAAGGTTTTTTTAAAAATCACTTCTAATTATTTTGATTCTGTGCCCTTCAATAAAATTTCTCAGATGAGTTGACCTTCAGTGGAAACATGTGACATGAAAAATGCAAACAGCCAGTGACTTTTTATGTCTTCTTCCCACCCAGGATGTGTCTAGTCCGAATGAAGCAAGAAGGCCGGAGTGGGAAATACATGTGTCGTATCATGGTTCATTTTATGTGGGAGGATGTTGAGCAGCGTGGCAGAATCATGGGGGTAAGTGACTACTATCAGATTCTGGTCTTGGAGAACTCCAGTGAGCGATTGCCTGATTTGAGTTGAAGTTCTAGAACTTGAGTTGAAGTTCTGATGTCAAGTGGTAAATTCAGCTCAACTTACTTTTGCCTCTGTAGATTCTGACAAGCTCTGGATACTTTCTGTGTTTGCACACATTATCATGGTTTGTTAGTGTGAGGATATCCTGTGTTCAGAGATGGGATTATTAAAAAGCAAATCATGGTGATAGGAGGGATGGATTTGGTGAATAGATGAAATAAAATAATAATTCAGTTTTAGGATACTGTACCAGTTCATTGTGTCAGTTCACAATTAGTTTGGATAGAAAGATCCTAACTGGGGGCCTGCACTCTCCTCAGGAACTTAAAAACAAGCTCCTTGATTGCTGACAACCTAGAATACTTTGGCAAGGTATCTACTGAAAAAGTCTATTAGCATATTTAATAACCTGAGAAAAGAGAACCTATAGTATGTGTGTAACATAGAATATGATGACAATAGAAAGCCAGAACCAAAACATTAGAATACAATAGATTATAAAGTACCAATCTCTTCCTTTGTGTATACTGTATATTTTGTGTATCTGCACCATGTTTTAATAGATTGTAGTTCCTTGGTTTTTCCTATATCATTGCCTCACAGCTTGGGAGCATCTAAAGCCATACCATCAGACAGGGTCATGAAATGGGGTGACCTGGTTTCTTTCATTACAGAGGAGAGTTTTGTGGTTTTGTGTGTATGTATTTTATTATATATGGTATCATTCTCTGTGCACTTAATTGCAATTTTCTTTTTTTTTTTTTAACTGAACAATGTGTCTTGGAGATCTTTACATGCTGCATGGGATTTAAGTGGGAGATCTCCCTTTTTTCACTTTTATCTACTGTAATTATTTTCACACATTTCCTATGTTATTGTCTGATGGTATCATGTGCATACTCTATGTGTAAAATTGAAGTCTTTGAGACTAAATGATAGAAGTGATGGTTTCCTTTGGAGAATATGGATTAAGGGTATTTTCAGATTCTCTTGTCTTTGAAGGAACTGGGTATACAGAAAACACAGAAGACATGGGTTCACCTTTAGATATCTTCATTGACACTTCTATGCCTTTCTCTGGGAAAACAGACCATCAGCATTTCTACTCATTCTAAAGAGATGATAGGATATTTCACAGTTTTAGCTGCTGTCATCATCATCATCATAATCCATCCAGGGGAGTTAGTATTCCCCTGTCTTTGTAATGCACTCTTTGCTTCATGTTTCTCACTGTCATGCCTTACTGTTGTTTAGCTGTCCAGAGTGGGATCAACAGCCTTTAAGCTATTCATCCTGCTGAGTGTTCCACATTGCTTCAGGTACTTACTAGCCAACTCTGTGGCAGTACACAATGGACATACCGTAGTGCTGGTAGTCTCAAATCATCCCTTTTAATGATGACCAGTGATACCCCCCTGGCCAGCTGAAGTCTCTGCTGACTGCCATGCAGTTACGCAGCACTTCTGTTACTCTGTTTTCTTATCACTGTTGACTAAACTCTTCTGGGAGTTGAACCACTGGAACCATGTGGGCCATAGCTGTCCCCAACTTGAATAGCCTTATGAGCCTAGACCACAGGAACCTTTTACTCTATCCCGCTTCCACCCCTAAATGAATTTCTTTTTGGATCTACATATAAATGGGGCTTCCCTGATGGCTTAGCGGGCTAAGAATCCACCTGCAATGCCTGAAAAATCCCATGGACAGAGGAGTCACAAAGAGTCAGACATGACTGAACAACTAAGTATACATGCACACACACATATATTTATCTTCATCACAATTTTCAGCACTTTGAACCTTCTCCCATGTTACTTTATAATATCCCGTCTACTTGACTGTATGCTTTATAAAGGCAGGAAACCTATCTTATCCACAGTTTTTTGTTTACACAGTGAACAGTGGTTGAATAAATACTTGTTGAATGAATGAATAAATTGAAATTTATTCTGAAATTGTTTTAAAGCCAACTTATTTTTCAGATAGCTCATACTTGGTTTGTTAGTCTCTGGTTCAGTTGTCTGTCAATGCAGTCCTGCAGGAATTAGCCTTTCCTTCCCCCGCCCCGCCCATTTTATCCAACCATTTTTCTGTCTGAATTGTTCTAGATATTATGCTGTCTTGCATTTCTCAAACTTTAATGTACCTGCAGTTCACCTGGGGATCCTGTTAAAATACAGATTCTGATTCAGTAGGTTTGGGGTGAGGCCAGAGAGTCTCTCTGCATTTCTATTAAAAATCTTCAAGGTGATGCCAGTAGCACTGGTAGGGCAGGATGGGGAAGGGGCAAGCACACTTTGAATAGCAGGGTTTTAGATGATCCATAATACTCCCCAAATATAGACTGTTAAATTTGTCTTCATGAGAGAAATGCCAAGCTCTAATTTAGTTACAAAGACTATAAAAGATGATGATTTTAAAATAATGGAGACTTGAAAGAGTTGGGGAATTACTGTTCTTATATTTCCATTATAACTGATTTGCTCCTCCCTTTCCAATGTCATGCTATAAATAGACACCCTTTATACAGGCAAGAAAATTATATATTAGACAATTCTAAGTTGTGAGTGTGATTGTGTGTGTGTAGAGGGGACCTCAGTCTTTGGTGTGTGTATAGCCTAAAGAAATGGGAAGATTAGGCTGGACAAGAATGGCATGTGGCTGGAGAAAAGTAGTAGGCAGAGGAAGCCAGTCTGGCCTGGTTCTGACCCTGGCTGGCAAATCTTTTCTCCTCCCCTTACTTCAGTCTCTTGGTTTAAAAAAAAAAAAACAAAAAAAACTTGTGGGGTGGAGGGGTGGGTGGCTACGTGGTTTCCAAATTTCTTTTCCAAGCTTTGAAAATCTATGATGTGAAGGTGGTAATTTGCAAATCTATTTCTGTGTTATTTGGCATCTTGAAGAAAACTCATATAAAAAGTAGAATTTATAAGACTGATCAATGTAGTGGTGATTTTTCTTCTGCCAAAGAATTCTTAGAGCCATTACTTGAGTGGGCTGGTGTAAGGAAGATTGAGAATGTGAATTAATGACACATTAGAAATTTGGGTCAAGAAATCCTTTGAATTAGAGTTCCAGTCTCATTTGGTGGGAAAATTTTTCACTTTCCAAAAATTTGCTTTTTACCAGCTGTTTAGGAGCCCAACTATTGTGACAAATAAGGCAGCCTCATATATCATCAGTGAAGCTGGTATAAAAAGCAAGTGTTAAATTTGAGGTTACAAAAATCACATCAATAATTTAGAGAGTTCTCACTTTAAAAAAAAAACGTTATTTGGGATTTAAACATATAAATTAGCTGTGGAAATAAAGTTCATTATATCACCTCATCTGGTCTTGTTTTATTTCATTAACTGGTTCTTAAAAACCTTTGTGAGTTGAGTTGCAGCTGAAGAGGTTGGAGACCATTTTTCCTTGGGCCCTTGCCTCACTCCTGAGTGTTGGTAAGAGTAGAGAACTAAGACTTGACACAGCTGTAAAAACAGACAGCGCCTTTGGCCTCAGCACTTTCTCCTGGTGCAGGCAGATTTCAGATGTAAATTTCACTTTCTGCCTCTCCTACTAATGAAGTAAGTTTCTTTTGCTGGGTTTGCAGCCAGGTGTGTCCAGTCTTGTGGCTAACCGGGCGCTTTACTTAATTTTTCCATTTGTGACATTTCAACCAAACTTAAAAAACAAACATAAAAATTAGCTCAAGGCAGTGGCTCAAAGTGTTAATGGTAACCTTAGGCTGGCTAAACGACTTCCTCTCAGTTCTGCCCTGCCAGACATCTCCACCTTGTGGCTTACAATGAGCAGGTTTAAGCTTTCCAAACTGTGGAGGCAAGGTGAAGGAGGTGGGGATGGGCTTTAGTTAACTAGTTGCACATTTATCTCTATCAGCGGCCCCTGGCATGACAGTTGCCTCAGCAACATTTCTTGCTGAGGACAAGAAACCTTGCTGAGGATAGTTGCCTTAGGTGATTTCTTGCTAATAGCCTTCCGGGTTCAGGATGAACCTCCTGTCACCACAGTCTCCTGCTCCTCGCTCTAGCAGAGCCGCTTGATGGGGGATGGTGTAGAGGACCCAGAAGGAGGTAGAGGAGCTGTGGGCTGAACTGGACTCCTTTGTAAAATTCTGCTTTGCTTTTCAGAACCAGCATTTTGCTTTGCAAGGTCCTCTGTGATCATACTCCAGGCTACCTTTCCAAACTCATTTCCCCTATCTCTTCTTGAGCCTTAAATATGAGAAACCTCTAGCACGTGTGCCTGGCACACAGTAAGCATGCAGTGAACATCACATTCCATCGTTGCCGCACATACTTTTCACTGCAGCCAAGCTGAATGTCTTGCTCTTCCTGTGTTTTGTCTTTGCTCACGCGGTACTAGTATACTAGATTGCCCTAACATGCCAGCCTCAATTCCTTCACATCCCTCCACTTCAAATTGGAAGCCAATCCTGGTTTCCTCTAGCTGTAAGTACTTTTTAAATTTACCTATACCCTTCATTGGAAAAGACCCTGATGCTGGGAAAGGTTGAGGGCAGGAAGAGAAGGGAGCGACTGAGGACGAGATGGTTGGATGGCATCACCGACTCAATGGACATGGGTTTGAGCAGACTCTGGGAGATGGTGAAGGATAGGGAAGCCTGGAGTGCTTCAGCCCATGGTGTTGCAGAGAGTCGGACACGACTGAACAACAACATACCCTTCTTCTGGCTCTTAACCGCTTCTGTTTTGCATCACTGTCATTCGTGTATATTGACCACCTGGGTGAATTCCTGGGGGGTGGGATCACATGTATCCCTCTTTGTACTTTCCAAAGTGCTAGTCATTGCTCCTCGACTGAATGTATGCCTTCTTCTGTTGAAAGAAGACTGTTCTGAAAGCCCATTCTAAGTGTTGGAAAAAGTGGAGTGGGGAGGTATCCTTTTTATTCTGAGAATATTTATTTACTCATTAGTC